TTGGTGTGGCATTTTTTAATTAATGTAAAAATATAACAACTTTAATCGGAATATTAAGAATTAATTATCACAAGTGGTTTTGTGAATTTCGGTTTGCCCCCATAGTTTTTGACTTTTTTTCTAAAATTTATTAATTTTTTAGGCAAACATTGTAATAGTGTCAAGTTTTCATGTTTTGTCTAAAGTAAAATGTTCACAAGTGGTTTTAGTTGTCGCCAATTTTTTACAAAAATGTTGTTTGTTTGATGCTTTCCAAAACTTTTTGGTAAAAAAATAAAAACAAAATATCAAATAAATGGTAGCAATCATACGTGTATGCCGATAAAAGAGACACGAAAACAAAGTTTTAAAACTCGGCATATTTAATATTAGTGGAAAGAAACATCTAATACACAATATGGAAGATGTTTCCTAGTGGTTTTATTTGCCGAGTGGGTGGATAAATTGAATAATAAATGCAAACATAAAAAATAGGTAAAGATTTATCATTAAATACCAAGTAAAATGTTCACAAGTGGTTTTTATTGCCGGGTAGTGTTGTCGAAACACTCCCCGAATATTCCAGGAAATTATTTGGGGAATTTTATTTTTTATCAAATTCCCGAACCGATTCCGGAATCAAAAAATATTCGGGAATATTTTTAACCTCGGTTCGGGAACATCCTGATTCCCAAACTTAAAATTGGTGTGTTCCCGAACCAATAAGTTCCCGAACACACAAGTTCCCGAACTTCATAAAAAAATATTCCCAAACTTTTGATTCCGGAACACGACGGTTCCCGAACCGATTCCGGAATCACCAGTATTATATTAAAAATTTATTAATAAGCAAACTAAAAAAATAACAACTTTGTTTTAATATTAAAATAGTAAAAAAAATTAAATTATTCAAAAAACAATAGAATAATATTTGTCCAACCATAAAAAACTTGTACAGTCACAAACCGTACTTAAATGTTTTTAATTATTGTTCATTTTAAAACGTTAAACAAATTTAATAATTATACACCAATAAGAACCAAATAAAAATAATAAAAATAATCAATTTTTAATTTACGCATAACTTTTTTAAGCATCTGTTTTTTCTTAGTATTATATAATGTTAATATAAATAAATACTCTGTTTGTTTTTATATAATAATATTATAATAATCATTTCAAATAAATTGTTGATTTTTAAACCAAATTGGATTGTTATAATACCCATTTTGTTTTTAAAATTATTAATAATATCCAAAAATGCAATTTATTGACATTGAATCAAACTATTCAATGATGTTTTAAACGTTGTCTGGTTGACTAAATTACATTTATAACGTTTAAACAAAATTTATGTAAAAAATCAAAAACTTTAAATATAAATGAAACTTTAATATAGAGGTATTTTGAAAAAATTTAATAAATATTCACATTTTAATATAAATTACAATCAAAGTTATAAATGTACAACATTTTGTATGTTTACTTTATGTTTTTTCAATTGATGAATAAAATGAATTTGTTTTATATATATATATATATTACACAATAAACGTTTTATCATTTTGTTGATTATCATAGTTTTTTTAAATTACAATTCTAATTACCCACGTCACCTTTTTGATACCTAAAATGTTTATTTCTTTTGTTAATCCGTACGTTACAATACCACAGTTTATGCGATAATTATTTTAGAAACCAATGTTGATAATTATCGGTTTCATTTATTTATTCAATTAAACTAAAAATAAAAATAAAGATTTAAAAGTTTCATATAATAAAAATGATTTTTGAAAATTGTTCATTGGAAATACACTAAAAATTATGAATATTATTTGTAATATAATTAGTTTTTACTCATTTAAAAAATCTTTCGTTTTTTTATTTTGAAATAATTTATTGATATTTTTTCAATATCAATAAATTGTTCAAAAATAATCATTTTAAATTGAATAAATTTTAATAAATTGTTTATTCTTCGGTTGTTACACAAATCAATTTTAAACATTGATATCAAAATTTGTCTGGTCGAATTGTTTAATCATTAAAATAGACATAGTGTTTAATAATAATATTTATTGTGTTTGTTTTAGATATTTTTATTTATTAAAGTAGAATTTTAAATAACATTGGAATTGTTTTATATTTTACAAAATAAGACTAACTTGATATCGATTAAGTTGTAAATTGTATAACAAATTTGAAAACAACAAAACCCAAATTCAATAAATTAACAACATAATTAAAATGTATGAACAAAAAGACGGTATCAAAATACATACAAAATGTGCGTTTTTTGATTTTGTAACTTGTATATAATAAATTGATAAGTATACAACATATAAAGTTTGAAATCACATAGTGAACAACAGGAAATAAATTAAAAAGTTAACTTCGAAGTAATCACAAATTTTGGTTTATGATATGTAAAGACAATTATTTATCATCTTATTAATTGGGTGTGACTTGTAATAGTAAGTGTCATTATTAAATGTTTGTAACTTTTTTGTTTTGTCTTTGGAATATAGATTAAAAATTTCTTAATTAATTACAATTTGTGTAACAAATATTTTTTGAGATATTTGCACATGATAAGTTACATTGTGTTAATATGTTTAATGTACTAATCGGTATATTATTTTTAAATAATACAATGAAAAATGTGACATTTACAAATAATATTTATTTTTCAATTTGATTATTTATCAAACCTCAAATAATAATGATATTTTAACTTATTACATTTAACAATAATTAAAATATATTGTTTTATGTTATTTTATTTTAATTGTTTTTATATTCATTTAAATGATGTTAATCAATTTGGTGTTAATTATTGCTTTCAGTTGTTTTTAATTTAAAACGGTGTATAAATATTGATATTATGTTTATCAATTTTGTCTTTTCATTTACAACAACAAAGATTTAATAAAGAACATAAGTTATATTTATGTTATATCATCACCACTAGACACCAAAACAGTTTTAAACAATAGAATATTTTTTGTTGTATCAAAAATCAATTACATC